TTTGTTTTTAACTTTTATTTAATGAATATAATTTCCAAAGTACAGCTTATGGATTACAATGGCTTCCCCCCCATAACTTCCCTCCCACCCCCCACTTTCGCTCCCCTTCCATTCACATCAAGATTCATTTTCAATTCTCTTTATATACAGAAGATCAGTATAGTATATATTAAGTAAAAATTTCAAGAGTTTGCACCCACACAGAAACACAAAGTGAAAAATACTGTTTGAGTACTAGTTATAGCATTAAATCACAATGTACAGCACATTAAGGAGAGAGATCCTACATGAGGAGTAAGTGCACAGTGACTCCTTTTGTTGACTTAACAAATTGACACTCTTGTTTATGGCGTTAGTAATCTCCCTAGGCTCTTGTCATGAGTTGCCAAGGCTATGGAAGCCTTTTGAGTTCGCTGACTCTGATCATATTTGGACAAGGTTATAGTCAAAGTGGAAGTTCTCTCCTCCCTTCAGAGAAAGGTACCTCCTTCTTTGGTGGCCCATTCTTTCCGCTGGGATCTCACTAGCAGAGATATTTCATTTAGTTTTTTGTTTTGTTTTTGTTTGTTTGTTTTTGTTTTGTTTTGTTTTGTTTTGTTTTTGTTTTGTTTTGTTTTGTTTTTTTTTTTTGCCAGTGTGTCTTGGCTTTCCATGCCTGAAATACTCTCATGGGCTTTTCAGCCAGATCCAAATGCCTTAAGGGCTTATTCTGAGGCCAGAGTGCTGTTCACTGAGTCTGCTGTGTATCCTGCTTCCCACGTTGGATCGTTTTCTCCCTTTTTTATTCTATCAGTTAGTATTTGCAGACACTAGTCTTGTTTATGTGATCCCTTTGACTCTTAGTCCTATCATTATGGTCAATTGTGAATAGAAATTGATCACTGGGACTAGTGAGATGGCATTGGTACATGCCACCTTGATAGGATTGAACTGGAATCCCCTGGCATGTTTCTAACTCTACCATTTGGGGCAAGTCCGATTGAGCATGTCCCAAATTGTACATCTCCTCCTGCTCTTATTCCCACTCTTATATTTAACAGGGATCACTTTTCAGTTAAGTTTCAACACTTAAGAATAATTGTGTATTAATTACAGAATTCAACCAATAGTATTAAGTAGAACAAACATGAAAAAATACTAAAAGGGATAAAGTATTAAGTTGTTCATCAACAGTCAGGGCAAGGGCTGATCAAGTCACCATTTCTCATAGTATCCATTTCACTTCAACAGATTTTCATTTTGGTGCTCAGTTAGTTGTCACCCCTCAGGGAGAACATATGATATTTGTTCCTTTGGAACTGGGTTATTTCACTCAGCATGATGCTTTCCAGATTCCTCCATTTTGTTGCAAATGACCAGATTCAATTTTTTTTACTGTGGTATAGTATTCTAAAGAGTACATATCCCATAATTTCTTTATCCAGTCTACCGTTGATGGGCATTTAGGTTGGTTCCAGGTCTTAGCTATTGTGAATTGAGCTGCAATAAACATTAAGGTGCAGACCACTTTTTTGTTTGCCAATTTAATTTCCTTTGGGTAAATTCCAAGCAGTGGGATGGCTGGGTTGAATGGTAGGGTTATATTCAAATTTCTGAGGAATCTCCAGACTGACTTCCATAGTGGCTTAACCAGTTTGCATTCCCACCAACAGTGGGTTAGTGTCCCTATTTCCACACATCCTCGCCAGCATCTGTTGTTGGTCGATTTCTGAATGTGAGCCATTCTAACTGGGGTGAGGTGAACCCTCATTGTGGTTTTGATTTGCATTTCCTGATTGCTAGTGATCCTGAACATTTTTTCATGTGTCTGTTGGCCATTTGGATTTCCTCTCTTGAAAAATGTCTATTGAGGTCCTTGGCCCATCTCTCAAGTGGGTTGTTTGTTTTGTTGCTGTGGAGTTTCTTGATCTCATCATAGGTTCTGGTTATTACTCCTTTATCTGTAGCATAGTTTAAAAATATTTTTTCCCATTCTGTCAGTTGTCTCTTCACTCTCCTGACTGTTTTTTGCAGTACAGAAACTTCTCAATTTGATGCAATCCCAATAGTTGATTTTGGCTTTGACTGCCTGTTCCTCCCGGATCTTTTCCAAGAAGTCTTTGCCAGTGCTGATATCTTGCAGGGTTTCTCCAATGTTCTCTAATAATTTGATGGTGTCGGGTCATAGATTTAGGTCTTTAATCCATGTTGAGTGGATTTTTGTGTAAGGTGTAAGGTAGGGGTCTTGCTTCATGCTTCTGCATGTGGAAATCCAGTTTTCCCAGCACCATTTATTTAATAGACTGTCCTTACTCCAGGGATTGGTTTTGGATCCTTGATCAAATATAAGTTGGCTGTAGATGGTTGGGTTGATTTCTGGTGTTTCAATTCTGCTCCATTGGTCTATCCATCTGTTTCTGTACCAGTACCATGCTGTTTTGATTACAACTGCCCTGTAGTATGTCCTGAAATCTGGTATTGAGATGCCTCCGGTTTTGTTTTTGTTGTACAAGATTGCTTTAGCTGTTCGAGGTCTCTTTTGCCTCCATATGAATCCATCAGCATCATTTTTTCTAGATCTGAGAAGAAAGTCTTTGGTATCCTGATTGGGATTGCATTGAATCTATAAATTGCTTTTGGGAGTATGGACATTTTGATGATGTTGATTCTTCCAATCCATGAGCATGGAAGATTTTTCCATTTTTTGGTATCCTCTTCTATTTCTTTCTTTAAGATTTTGTAATTCTCATTGTATAGATCTTTAACGTCCTTGGGTAAGTTTATTCCAAGATATTTGATTGTTTTTGTAGCTATTGTGAATGGGATGGATCTTAGCAGTTCTTTCTCTGAGGCATATTTCCAAATGTCACACTGACACAGCAGGATAAAGCACAGATGTTATGAGATCCTGTAATCAACTGAGTTTCTTCACAGGAAGAGCCTCTTTCTGGCATTAAATAATGGGTTGGAACCACAGAAAACTGAAGAGAGTGGAACTGTGAGCTCCTGAAACACAGGGATCCAACCCTTGGAATCTAATGGAAATGTGAGGTGAAATCCATCAGCCTTGGGGACAAAGACACGTGCTAGGATTCAAGCTGCAGAGCACATGTTGATGTCCCTGAGGAACAGAACAGAACAACAAGTTAAGTGGGTTAGAGACTGTAAGATAGAGAAGATGAAAATGGGAAAAAATTGTATTGATTAAAAAGATTTTCTGAAGTAAATACACTGAAAGTCTCTACACCCCAACCACTGGGAAAGCCTCAGGCCATTGCTGGTGGCTATTTAACTGCAGCACACAACACCTGGACAGCACAAGGAACTGGATCCTAATAATGAAGTTAGGAGCATGAGAAGGGGGGGGATCTTATGGAAGCATTTATGCACATGCTGGGGACACCCCTGCATTTCATTGTCTGTTAAACAATGAACCTCCTAGATTTCCCATCTTCATCACCTCTGTTTTCTGAGCTCTTTACACAGGGACATGTATTTTTACTGCATCCCATTCTTTAGGAATTCCTGTGTTTTATCTCCTGAGGTCTCTGGATGCACATCTAACCTCTAGCCAAGTCCCTGAAAAATGAGACTTGGGTGTTAAAATTTCATAAATGAATATGGAAGTTCTCACGAGCAGCACAGCTGCACAGGTATGTGGCAAGCACCAAAAATAATTTTGCATTTTCTAGTAGACACAATAAAAGCAGAAGTAACTAACTTTAATAATAGACAATATGTTAATTACACCCAAAGCATAACTCAAACATGTACACAGTTTGAAAATTTATATATTGATTCAATTTAACATTTTGAAATGTGTTTTCTAAATGAGCCAAATACTTCAAGTGAGACTGGTTCCATGGTCACCTGCCTTTGTTTCCTCATAAAACCTGTATAGACTCCTCTGTGGTAAATGATGTCAGATCAACCAAGGAAAGCACTTGGAGAAAAAGGCATTCTCATCATTAAAGGCAAGAAGTCAATTTGGGAATATTTTTGTTATTTTTCATCAGCAAAAAATGGGCAGAATGTTGGGTAGCATGATGATAAAATTCGAGTAATGCCCACCAATCTTGAGTCTTTCTCAGGTCTATAAAATGCATAAATGTACACAAAGTTGTTGCAACAGTAAAAGAACACAAAACAAAATGCCATCAAAAGGATAGTGTGGGTGGCTCTGTTTTCTGGAGACATCTGCCTGGAAAGGCTGGAGCTGTGGATGTGCCAGGCTCTCCTGTGGTGTCTGTAGAGGAGCCTCACCATGTAGAGGCTGAACATGATCATTGGTGCCAAGAACAGGACATCACAAGTCAGAATGACACTTACAATGACCCTTTATGGTGATCTCCAGACTGCCTGGTTTGACAGTACGCATGAACAAATCCATGACCAACGACAGTGATATTCCATTTGGCTCTTACAGTTTCAATGATGTGGATGTAGATCAGCATGTTGATGATCCAGAAGAAAAGGAAAGAGAGGAAAACCCAGGTAGACAGCTTAGATTTCAGCCACGCCCATTTAGAATGACTGGGACTGATAGTGATGGCTTGAAATACACTCAGGAGAGAGGTGGTGCAGATGGAGAGACCCCGCACAACTCTGTAGATGTAAAAACAGTTTGACAGCCAGCATTATCTAAGAAACGTTTAACTCCAAAGGATGACACGATGTCTGGTATTGACTGGAACACGATGGTTACAATCTTGGCCACTGTCAGGTGCATGAAAATGCAATCTATGGGCTTCTTCAGCTGAGGCTTGATTAGGAAGGCATAAATATAGATCATGAAGAGAAATGAATTGGCCATGACACCAATAGAAATCTGAGCTATGAGAAAGAAGCTCAAAATTGTGTCACATGGAAACATGTCAATGTTTCAGTTAGGTAAGGTTGCATCCACTGAAAAATAGATTGTACTGTGACATGATGTTCTTAACATGGAACATTTGAAGAATGTGAAGACTGACAGTTCAGTGTCAGGGAGGGAGGACAAATGGTCAAATTTTCTATTTCAGACTTGGCTGTGCCACTTCCACGAACTGAATAGTGGGCAGTGTTTGAACTTCAGACTACTGAAATAACTGATATGAAGAAGGAGAACCCAGGTGCTCACATCCTACATTCCCATTAGAGCATGATGGCATCTGTGAATGACAAATTACATTAAAAGTTATTTTTTTCTTCAGAGTATTAGCTTGCTTCTTACCTCTGATGATATGTGTATATCCTATCCTTTCTAAAGCACACTACATTTCTGATACATGTACAGTACTATGAATATCTGAACTTCTTTCTTACAATTTAGATTGCAGACACAATTCTTTCAGACAGAAAACATTTAACCACTCACATTTTATGACACTCTGAATATATAATTCAATTTCAAAATACAGAAGGAAGTAGCATGTAGTTTTCAAGTGTGGCTTTTTCTCCTCCCCTCATCCAACCAGCAGTGTTTGGAGACATATTTGGTCTCACACTTGGTGCAGAGCTCCTGTCACACAGTGGGTAGAGTCCAAGATTGCTGTTAAATTTCCCACCATGCACAAAATTTCCCACAATGCACAGGATAGCCAATACCACAGAACTTTGGGGCCCCAAGAAGTCACATGACAGTTGATGAGCCCAGTCTAGCAAATCATCACTGAGTTGTGCTCCCTGCAGCACATATAAAATAAAACATATTTTGAACACTTTTAGGGGAAACAGAGTAGAGTGAGTTGGTTCACAAATACAGTGAGAACAGGAATGCTAAGGCAGTCACTGAGGGTGACTTCTAACTTAATATCTTTAATATTTGTGTTTGTTGATTTTTGGAGTTGTTGCCTATATCATTCTCTCAGAGACTTACTCTTCTCAATTGTCTTTGTCATGCACACATTACCATTCTTTTCTATATAGATTTCTAGTTATGATGTCACTTCTATATGGACTATAAAAGATCAAAGTTTGAGAAACAGAGGAAAGGTGATTCTCAGGAGTGATGAGGTAGGGGAGGGAGATGTTAGTGAAAGGGTACAACCTTGCAGTTAGAAGATGAATACTTTCTGGATAGCTGCTGCAACATGAGTGGAATATACTTGATAATAATGTAATATATCATTGATATTTGCTCACAACATAGCTCTTACAAGGTTTCTTTCTTTCTTTCTTTTTTGACAGGCAGAGTTAGACAGTGAGAGAGAGATAGAGAGAAATGTCTTCCTCCCATTGGTTCACCCCACAAATGGCCGCTGCGGCTGGTGTGCTGTGCTGATACAAAGCCAGGAGCCAGGTGCTTCCTCCTGGTCTCCCATGTGGGTGCAGGGCCCAAGCACTTGGGCCATCCTCCACTGCTCTCCTGGGCCATAGCAGAGAGCTGGACTGGAAGAGGAGCAACTGGGACAGAATCCGGCACCCCAACCGGGACTAGAACCCGGGGTGCTGGCACCGCAGGCAGAGGATTAGCCTAGTGAGCTGTGGTGCTGGCCAGGACATGTTTATTTTACAAACATTGTAATGATCTTTAAGTTTCATGTGTCTAATATTTAATGGACACACCTTATGTCTAGAGGTCAAAATTGGCCCTATGTATCATGCCCCATCCAATCACTTTTGGATTGTGCATTGTATTTGTATGGATGCATTGGACAGCACATACTTGGGATGTGGTATTTTTGACTCTTGCATTCTCTGCTTTTACATTGTGATTTAGACTGTTTTCAGCTTTGTGGTGGTATAATTGGTAGATGAAAGCCTATTTGATAGCTAACATATTGGGATGATTTGACATACATTTGATATGAGTACTACAACTAAGTTCATTAGCATACTAGTCACCTTCCATAGAAACGCCCACGGGATTGCTGTACCTGATCAAGTGATCCTTATTCTCCTTGATAATGGCCCCAGCATGTGAGAGCAGTGGTGCTGGCAGTCCATAACTGCAAAGCCATGGAGCGCTCCCTTTAGTGAGGTTAATGTTCTCCACTTACTACGCAGAGTAAGAACAACCACAGAGCTGACTCTGGTAGGACAGGAAGTATTATGAGAGAGATCACATTCCTGTGACTTGAATCCCAGTGTATTGCTCAGTGCTCTGCTATGTCATTGAGAATTGTTGTCCCCTCACTGTGCCTACTGGATGAATTACACATGCTCATAGCAACGTGTGTGTAGCACAGACAGTGAAGGCAGCGTCAGTGCCATCCTCGCCTCCAGGCCTTCACTGGAGGGCCCTGGGAAAGATCCCTGTAGGTCTGGGGAGAGGACTGTAGATAAGGGGAGAGGACCAGATAACAGCCTCACTTCAGAGGCTTCACTCCTTAACTCAAGGAGTTTCTTCCTCTTCTACAAACTCCACAGACCTAAATGAATCGTTGTCACTGCTTGTCTGAATAAAAGATTTACTTTATTTATTTGAAAGGCCTAGTTAGAGAGAGAGAGAGAGGTGTCTTCCATCTGCTGGTTCACTCCCCAAATGGCTGAAACAGCCAGGCCTGGCCAGGCTGAAGTCAGGAGCCAAGAGCTTCTTCTGGGTCTCCCATGTGGGGTCAGGGGCCCAAGCACTTGGGCCATCCTCCACTACTTTACCAGCTGCATTAGTAGGGAACTGGATCAGAAGTAGAACAGCTGGGACTCAAACCAGTGCCCATATGAGAGGTCAGCATCACAGCTGTTCCTGCTATGTCACAGCACCAGCCCCCAAGTCTCGATTTTTGCCACAACTCCTATCCTGGTTGCATTCCGGTATCATTCCCATCCCACAGACATCCACACTGTTTGGAGAGCCAGTGCCCCACTCTCCAAGGTCTCACAGTCTCCCTTTGCATCCAGCCTTCTATCTGGGACTTCCCCGTCTTGCCCTGGATGCCTCTCTAGCCTTGGGCTTACTCTGTCTCTGAAATTTGGTGGCCAGGTGTATTGAAGAATGTTAGGTTAGAGGGCCCCAGATGCCTGGTGTCCACACAATAATTTGCTGTTATATGGTCTTAAATGTTCACTTTATATCCTAATACCCAAGCTGTTGAGTCATTCTCATGGTTTCTGTGTGTCACATTGGTTTTTCTTCATAAGTCACCAAGAGGGAAAGACTGAACCCTCTCTGAGTGGTCTCCAATCACACACAGAGTTCCTGAGATCAGACACGGTCCTTGACTTTTATTTAAACATTTTAAATCAGTATCTCTATTTCCAAATCATTTTATTGTTAACTTATGTGAGTAGGGTTCCATTCTCTGATTCAAGAAAGCATCCCCAAGCTGGACCCCCGGAGAGGGAGGGAGCGTTGGGAAGAGGATTTGATGAGCAATCTTGTGTCTGTAATGTGCTTTGCTGGTCTGTGGTGTAACTGGCTGAAATAAGTGAGCACCATTTCCTAAGTTAAGTCGGTTGCTTTGGCATTAAAGTGCTCCTGGAACCCAATGGAATGAGGGCTCACTCACCACCTGGTCAGAGAAAAGAACACATTTTTCTATTTGCAAACCAGTGATTTGGGGGCTTTGAAGATGACAGCAAAATGATCTCCAACTTTCCCAGAAAAATTCAGTTTAAAGATATATGCTTGGGGGGCCGGCGCTGTGGCTCACTTGGTTACTCCTCTGCCTGCGGTGCCAGCATCCCATAAGGGTGCTGGGTTCTAGTCCTGGTTGCTCCTCTTCCAGTCCAGCTCTCTGCTGTGGCCTGGGAGGGCAGTGGAGGATGGCCCAGGTGTGTGGGCCCCTGCACCCGTGTGGGAGACCAGGAGGAAGTGCCTGGCTCCTGGCTTCGCATTGGCACAGTGCCAGCCATGGCGGCCATTTCATTTGGGGAGTGAACCAACAGAAGGAAGACCTTTCCCTCTGTCTCTCTCACTGTCTGTAACTCTACCTGTCAAATAAATTTTTAAAAAAGTTTGTAAAATAGCAAAGCAACATCAAATGCTTGACTTTTAAATTATGTCTTATTAAAAAAAAAACTGATGCTTATTTATTTAAGAGACAAAGAGACCAAGGCAGAGAGAGAGAGAGAGAGAGAGAAAGAGAGAGGGAGAGAGAGGTTCCACCCACTGGTTCACTTCCCTAATGCCCACAGTAGCCACAAAGAGACTGAAACTGGAAGCCAGAAGCTCCATCCAGGTCTCCATCATGGGTGGCAGGAACCACCCATGGCATGAGCCACGACCACTGCTTCCCAGGGTCTGCATCAGCCAGGGTCAGACACAGGAGCCAGAGTTGAGATCAAAGCCAGCACTCCAGGGTGGGAGGTGGGCCTCCAAATGCAAAGCTTGACCACTACACCCGGCAGCCACCCCTGAAATTATTTTTTAACCCTGTTGCCATGGCCACTGATGACAGTGTAGGAAGTAGAATTCTCTCATAAACTTATGGGAGATTTTGCACAACTACTGAATTAGCTGGAAGTTTTCAGTGGGATCCAAACTTTTCCTAAAACTTCTTGTACTGTTGAAAGCTCTAATGAACTTTGTGGTGCTGCGTTCTGCCACAGCTCTGTGTCCATGGACACCAACACTGAATCAGGCTGAGATTCCCTAGCTCGGCCAGGTCCTTTGGTTTCAGTTTCTGGTCATTTCACAGCAGAGCAGGTGCATTGCCATCACCCAGTTCACCCAGTTCACCCAGACTTTGCCTGCTGAGGTCCCAGCATGCATCTGAAGCTTAGCAAAAACATCCTTTTCTCAAGTAGAGAAACAGGAAGCTGCTCTGACACTTACACAGCTTTGTTGGGGGGCACTGGCTTTCCTTTGCTTGCTGAGCCATCATGCACTCTTCACTGTGGCTCTGAGGACGCAAGCACTCAGCCAAGTGTGCTGCTTCTCCACAGTGTGGGACCCACAGACTGAACCCAAAATATCACGAAGAAACACAAAGACCCTCAAAATCCCAGAGGCTTGGACATTTATAGAATGGAGGCAGGAACCAGCAAGGGCTCTTGCCGAGCTGACAAAGTGCCATGCCACATTGAACTTCTGGCTGGAACCTGTGAGTCTAGCCCTATCCCTGCCATGACCTCAACAAGTGGGGACTCTTAGGGAAGATCAGCAGTCATAAAGCTGATCTCCAAGTCTCTGCAACAGGATTGTGGGGAAGGAGTGAAGCTGGGCTTGCCAAGATTCAGAATGAGGAGGCCAGAGCTGAGGACCACAGGGAGCAGCCAGTAGAGGCTACCGACGACAAGCAACCTTGTCCCCGCCCCCTGAGAGCCACCACATGGGCAGATGGAGCTCACCGGGGACTGCTGCAAAATACTCCACCATGCAGATTCCCCATTGAATGGGGATTTCCCCAAAGAGTCACCTGTTTCTGAGCACCCAGGCTGCTTTTGCTTTGTCCTCACAGCTCATTTCAAGGAATATCTTTCCCCACACCAGCTCCCTGAGGGGGATGCTTTCCTTAGTAAGGAAGATTTCTAAAAGTAGCTTTAGGGGTCAAGTGAGATTTTTTAAATTTCTGTATTATTATCCAAAAGCTTAAAGAAACTTGTAGTTGCTCTTCTCATTCTATCTTTTTTTTAACTTTTATTTAGTAGATATAAATTTCCAAAGTACAGTTTATGGATTACAATGGCTTTTCCCCCCCATAACTTCCCTCCCACCTGCAACCCTCCCATCTCACACTCCCTCTCCCATTCCATTCACATCAAGATTCATTTTCAATTATCTTTATATACAGAAGGTCAATTTCGTATATATTAAGTAAAGATTTCATCAGTTTGCCCCCACAGAGAACACAAAATGCCAAATACTGTTTGAGCACTAGTCATATCGTTAATTCACATTGAACTACACATTAAGGACAGAGATCCTACATGAGGAGTAAGTGCACAGTGACTCATTCTATCTTATTGAGCTAAATCCTTTGAGAAACTCTTTGCATAGTGTTACTTGAAGCAATGATCTATATTTGAAGGCTTGCACTTCTGCATCATTGAGGGCTTTGGAGTGGAGAGCAGCCTTTGGGAGGGATCCTGTATGGCAGGCATTGTGGTTGAGCAGATTAAGCTGCTGTGTGGGACACTGGCATCCAATACCAGAGAGCCTGGGACCAAGCCCTGCCTCCGCTTCTCACCCAGCTCCCTGCTAACACACACCATGGGAAGCAGCAAACGATGCCTCAAGTACCAAATATTTGCAGCCCTGATGTCCATGTGGGAGACTCAGATGGAGTTCCTGGCTCCTGGCTTCTGCTGACCCAGCTCCAACTGTTGTGGACATTGGGGAAGAAGGCAGCCAGTGGAAATTCCATCAATCTCTCTCTC